TTAAAAAATTGTATGTCAATTTTTGTGTCAAAATTTTTTGTATTATTTCTGTCAAAAACAATTTGGCGGGAAAATTTTTGTTGAAATTTTTTTGGCGGAAAATATTTTGGCGGGAAATTTTTGTCAAAAACTTTTGGCTAGAAACTTTTTGTCGGAAAATTTTGAAAGGAAATTTTGTGTACGGGAAATTTTTTTTAGAAGGAATACCCCAAACCCTAAACCCTAAACCCTAAACCCCAAACCCCAAACCCTAAACCCTAAAGAGCTTTGCCATTTTCTCTTCTATGGTGATGTTAGGTGTGGTTGGATCTGTCCTTCGATGTAGACGATTTCTCTCTTTCACAATAACTTTGGATGATGTTCCTAGGATCTTCTAGTTGAAAGCTATGGCGGATTTGGATAGGATTTCTCTTGGCTTATTGGCTTGTTAGATGTAGATTTGTCTTGCGGCCACTACAAGAAAACAGTCAATTTACGACTGCATTTGGCGACTACATGTGTAGTCGTCACATTTAGCGACTATTGGACGACGCATTTACGACCATGTTACGACAACACATGTTCAGTCGTCAAATAGTCGCTATTTAGCGACTACAAACATTAGTCGGTAACGTAGTAGCTAAAAGGTGACTAATAAGTGACTAAATATCTGAGACGGTAAGCGTGTCGCCTAATAGTCGCTAATTAGCGACTACGTTACGACAACATCCTATAGTCGCTAATTGGCGACTGATTAGCGACAGTTGTGGTGAGTCGTAATATAGTCGCCAAACGATCGTCAAATAGACGCACAAGAGAACACGTTTTTTTCGTTTTGTGGTAGGTGAGGTAGGTGAGGATCGACGAGGTAGTGAGGTGGGTGCTACCTGAGGTAGTGAGGTAGGTGCTACCTGAGGTAGGTGAGGATGGTAGTCGCATAATAGTCGCTATTTAGTCGCAAGATTCTCTATATAAGGAAACTCACCCATTTGTTCTCCTCCTCATTCATTCACAACACTTACACATAACAAAAGAAAGAAAAAAGTCGAGTTTTGAAAGCTTTTCAATAATGGCTAATTTTCGAGAGTGGAGGTATAAGAGGATCGACGAAGAGACGGGAAACTTCTCGGAAGAATTTAGAGCGGGGGTGGAGCAGTTCATGGCATTTGCAAATAGTCAGGCTTTAGCACAGGATAATAGGGGTAAGTTTTATTGTCCTTGTAGTAAATGCAAAAACGATAAGCGTATTCCGGGGGCAAGAATTTGGAACCATTTATTTAGTTATGGGTTTATGGAAGATTATTATGTTTGGTATAAGCATGGGGAAGACATAAATTTGAATTTAGGAACGAGTAGTTATTATGTTGATCCTACGTATATAAATGGGAGAGAAGAAGTGGGTAATGTAGTACAAGATAGATATGTGGATATGGTGAATGATGCATTCCCTGAAGATAATTACATGAGTTATGATGGTAGTAGCAGTTATAATGTAGAAGAACCGGTTTTTAACCATTCAAACAAATTTTACGACTTGCTAGAAAGTGCTAAAAATCCACTATATGATGGTTGTCGTGAAGGTCACTCTCAATTATCTTTAGCTGCTAGAATGATGCAAAATAAGGTAGATTATAATATGAGTGAAAAATGTGTGGATTCGGTGTGTGATGTCTTAAGTGAGTATTTACCCGAAGGAAACCAAGCTACTGGTTCACATTATGAGACAGAAAAATTGATGCGCAATTTAGGGCTCCCATATCATACAATTGATGTTTGTATCAACAATTGTATGATATTCTGGAAAGATGACGAAAAAGAAGATAAATGTCTCTTTTGTGGTCATCAAAGATGGAAGCCTAATGAAAACCGACGTCGAACGAAGATACCATATAGTCGTATGTGGTATTTACCTGTTGAAGACAGATTGAAGCGAATGTATCAAAGCCACAAGACAGCAGCAGCAATGAGATGGCATGCGGAGCATCAAGCAAAAGATGGAGAATTGAGTCATCCT